TTTTTATAGGTTATTTTACAATGTTAATTAGTTTTTTCAATCCGTGTTTTCGTAAGCCTTACCAGGCACAAATAGACATTAGTTATAATAATTATGAGAATAATCTGATTGTTCATATAATCAATAATTAAAATAATCTCACTACCAAACAAGCTCTTAATTATTCACAAGATTTTTTTTATTCACAAAAATATTTTAAAAAAGATTCTTAATATCTTAATCAATAAAAAACCAAAAAGAGAAATGAATCCGCTGCAGTAAAGCTATGAAATTACATTTAGAATCTCAAAGTTGTTGGCATTTATAAAATGGGCCTAAAATAAAAACAATATATTCAACGTCCATCAGAAAATTAATCCTCATGATATCCTTCTTCGAAACAAAAAACAACATAAATACCCATATAATCAAGAATTGAGAATTGAATGTATCATTTCTAATTTCTAATGTGAAAAGTTGATAAAATGACAAGGAAAGGGTAAGAACAAACGATAAATATGGAGAGAAATTTGTGGATGAGAAATTTACCTGGGAATGATGGGCAGAAAGAAAGGCAGATGGTAGCACGGAGGAAGGCCGGAGGTTAGGTCTCCCAACGGCGGGCGTCGAAGAACATTTATATATATATATATATATATATATATCCTCCTCAGAGAATTTTTACAGAGGCAAGCTTTGAAGTGCTAGAAGAGAGCATCGAATCCAAAAAATACATATGGCTATTATCACCCAATATAAAAGAATTGAAAATACATTCGTTTGGAGGAGCATGAATATGTCTCACACATCTTGTGTGACGGGGGTTTGATTTGTTCGTCCAAAATAGCAACTATATTGAGTTAGGCTGTTTTTAATGTGATGAAAAAATGGGAAAAATCCTCTAATATTACTAGGGCATAGGATATTTCCATAAAAGTGACCATAAAAAATTTGGGCCTAAAAAGTGACGCTCAAGGTCATAGTTTAGGAATTACTTTCCAAAAATACGGAGCTTCATGATGTGGCCGGTCAAAAATGAAAACTAATAAAACAGAATTTAAGAAACAGCCGGTTGCGCCTGAAAGTCTTTCAACCGTAGGAACGAACTCGAACAGAACAAGGAAACCGAATATCATCGCAGACTCGCATAGGTAATTTTGATGTCTAACTTATTCGTTAATCAGTTCGAATTTGATAACTGGACATCAACACTTCTGCGAACATAGAGATGATCTGACAATTGTAATTGCGAACATAATATTTCATATTTTCGTTGAATTTTTCATAACTTTCCTTCTGAATTTCGATTTGAAAAAATTCATTTGAATTAAAGTTTGTTTAGCATCGTGTAACTGGAAACTGTGTTGTGTTTGCAGTGATTGATGTAGAACCGAGTACATGAACCGTATTCAAAATTTGATGTTGTGTTTACCGTTTCTGAATTTCAAATTCAATTCATATAGATGTAATACATGTAATCATAAAAGTGTAACTCCAAAATGCCTAGTGTATTCAATGAAATTTGCTTGCAGTTCCTTCATAATTTTATTTGAAATAAGTTGATAGAATTTTGATTTGGAACTCTGTAGTGACACAGTAATGTAATTGCGAACTGTATTGAGCTTACTGAACTTTCTCTTTGATTTTAGTAACTGCTAGGCATGTAGTAACTGCAGTGTAAGAGTAATGGTGATGATATCATGAATGTAACTAAGGACTTAGTTAGTTTCATAGTATGTTCTATCATTGAACTTGGTTGTTATCTTTTCACGTGAAGTGAAAAAATTGGATGCTATTGTTTTGTTTAAAATGGAGAAAGTTATGGCCACAGTAATGTTAGATGGCCACTGGAACATTAAGAAGAAATTTGTGGCAAGATCTGGTACAATGCAAAGTCATCATATAATGAATTGGTTAAGGATTTACAAGATGCTTTGAATCTTCAGCCAGATGTCACTATCAACTGTATCTCATACCAAATAGATAAAGATTTTGATCCAACACAGATTGACAGTGACAGTAGTTTACAATTTTATTTGCATCTTAAAGGTGTTGATTGTACACAAGTATCAAAAATACCCTTTGTGTGTGCAAATAAATAGCAAAAGTGACATGGAAGGGGTATGTGACACTAACATAAGAGTAGCAGATTCAGAAGAAAGAATCAGTACAACAAATGTGGCTCCTACAGTGGGTGGATGTAATAATGAGGAGGTGTTGGATGAATATGCAATGACTTATCAGCAATGTTCAACCACAGACACACCGTTGTTGACATGGTTGGGTGGGGGAGGAAGTGGTGACATGGAAGCTATGGATACAACATTAAGGATCAATGGAATATATCCAAACAAAGAAAGCTTAAAGGAGACTTTGCAACTCTATGCACTTACATCCTGATGTTATTCATGTTATTTGCTGTGAAGAAAAGTGCAAATGGGCTGTACGTGGGGTGAGAATGAATAAAAGTGATTGTTTTGAAGTGAGAAGGTATGTTTTAGTGACAACATGTTGCAATTACATCAAATCTTGTGTCACTATATATTAAAAGTATTTTGTTTTTAGATGAACAATCAATACTAATGTGTTAAATAAATTTTCATTTGTTACAGGTTTGATAATGTACACAGGTGCTCAATTGATAGTAGGCTGAGTGGGAATAGGTAAGCCAGTGCATTGATAATTGGAAAAATGATCAAGCACCAATACCTAGATGCCTCCCGAAAACCACATCAACCAAAAGCCATAATGGCAGACTTAAATTGGAAACTGGGAGTTAATGTGAATTACAAGAAAGCATGGAGAGCTAAGGAAAAGACTTTGACATCAATATCGGGAACTGATAAAGAGTCATACATGAAATTGCCGATGTTATGTCATATAATGGACCAAGAAAACCCAGGATCTATTATATCTCTCAATTCTGATTCTCAGAATAATTTCAAGAACTTGTTTATGTCACTGGGAGCAAGTAGAAAAGGGTGGCTTGCTTGTAGGCCAATACTTAGTGTAGATGGATCATTTTTAAAAGCAAAATATGGTGGGACAATTCTTTCTGCATGTGCTCTTGATGCAAACCGACATTTGTTTCCAATAGCATTTGGAGTGTGTGAAAAGGAGAACAAAGAATCATGGTTGTGGTTCTTTACTAAACTTAAAGAATCAATTGGAGAAAGAGAAGAAATGTGCTTTGTATCAGATAGAAATGAAGGTCTTATTAGTGCTGTGAAAGTGGTATATCCTGGTGTTCATCATGGGTATTATGTGCAACACATACTTGGAAATATAACTTCAAAGCTAGGTGGGAAAAAGAAAAATGTTATAAAGTTTTTCAATGCTGCTGCTAGGTCGGCAACAAGCAGAAAGTATGAATACTTTATGAAGTTACTGGACTCTGAAGACCCAAGGATTCGACAATATCTAGCTGAAATCGGTTGTGAAAAATGGGCTAGATGTAAAATGACAAGAAGGAGGTACTCAATAGTGACATCCAATAATGCAGAGTTCCTCAATAATGTGGATGCCACTGCTAGGGAGTACCCGATATCCATTTTGGTTGAGTTTCTGAGGCTAAAATTGCAAACATGGTTTTATGACAGAAGAAAAGAAGCCACAGAAAATGCAACAACTTTATCCCCAAAAGCGGAAGTTGTGCTTGTACATTTGCTAAGAGATTCTGCCGTCATGATTGTGAGTAAAATTTTATTAATAAAAGCTTATAATATTGGTCTTTTGAATTCCAGTTACACTGTTTTTATGGCAGTGAAGTGTATTGTGATTTATTATTGTTAAAATTATATTGGATTCATATATAACCACTTATATGATGTTTTATATTTTTTACAGGTAAGACCAAGCACTATTTTTAAGTATGAAGTGATAGATCAAAGGTGTAGGGCATTTGTGGTTGACCTTGAGTCCAGAGAATGTACTTGTAGAGAGTTTCAATTGGAGGACTTTGTGTGTGCTCATGCAGTGGCATCCATTAGGTCAAGGACTGGATTATCTTGCTATGACCACATTTCAACATATTACAAGAATAGCGCATGGTTTGAAGCTTATGCAGGAGTCATAGAACAACTAGGTGAGTATTGTGAAGCAGATGTCCCTAGTGAAGTAAGAAATTGGATTATTTACCCACCAATATCAAAGAAACGGACAGCTGGAAGACCGAAGAATAAAAGGATTCCTTCAATTGGTGAGTTTGTTACACGGCAAAGGTGTGGAAGATGTAAACAAAATGGACACAATCAAAAGACGTGAAACAACCCGATACCACGTCACTAAGGATTGAGATGATGATGATATGTTCAATGTTATATGTAGTTACTATTTTAATGAACAATGTGTACTTCACATTATCTCTTTGTGTGATGTGTCTCTTGGGGCAGAATTGATTTGAACTTCAGTAGTTTTAAAACTGATAATAAATTGAGTTTATCATTGGTAAAAATGTGTAGTTTTAAGTGTGTGTGCAGATATATATGAATGGAAGCCACAACTAATAAACTGGAAGATGAAAGCATCTGGTGAAGTTTGTCACTAAGAGAGCCTTGTCACTACCATTGTTGTCACTGCAAAAAGTGTCACTAGTAGTTATAAGACTTTGTCACTGTCAGTGTTCTAACTGGAATAACGTTTCACTAGGAGTATAACCTATAAGTATTAACATTATGTAACTAAACACTTGTTTCACTGCAATATGTGGCAGTTTAAGTGTCAACACCATGTAACTGACAAATGTGTCACTGCATCATGTGTCACTATTACTATTTTGACATTGTCAGTGATACAAAATTGAATTATTTTCTTCTATGTTTGAAAGTAAAAAATATAAATTATATAGAAGTATAATAATGGTGTCATTGTGAAAAGAATTAACAACACAAAGAATTACACAGTCACAAAAAGAAGAACTAATCAAAGTACTTATCAATACCATGAAACCAAAGTAACTATTCAAGAGTAGTAATGAAGTACATAAGTACAGCACATCAAAATGAATCCAAAAAGTCACAAACAGAGGTTAAGTTTTGACTACTACAAGTTTGTAGAACATATTTAGTATTCAATACAAACAAACTTAAACAACACATGAATGTGTAACTATAGCTTTTCCCATTGAAGTGCCATGAACGTAAAGGTCATGAGCCCACTTTGCTCGATAAGAAGGGACTTTGTCGGGGCACACAAGCTGGATATCCATGTCCATTTGAAGTACTTTAGCAATCTTCACCACCAAAAGCCCACAATCTCCCCTGAAAAAAAAAACTTTAAAAAACTGTTTTTTGAGTTGAAAAGGGTCAAAAAACTTAAATTAGATAATATGTCGCTTACCCATTGGTCTGTTGTGGGACGCCATGGGCCATTTTAACAGTGGCAGAACCAACAGCACCATATACACGTCCATGGGAACAAGACCGCATGTGAGACAAGATGAGAGGAAGATAGTGAATGAGACCGCGCATTTCAGTACGCAAATATTTTGGAATGGATGCACGTCTGTTGTTGGTATCGTACACAAACAAAGTGTTTGCACTAACATCTAGAACAACTAGAACCCATTGTTTAGAAACAAGATTAAATGGAAAGTAGATGTAGTCGCATTCATACCACGGGCGTAAGTATTGAGTTTCATCGCCTGCAATAACATCAATCACATATTGATCGTTGGCTGCTTTTGATACATCACCTGAACCGGACTTGTAAGAATCATAAAGGGCATTAAGATGACTTGGAAAGTAAGTGCAGGAAGTAGAAATTTTTTGGGGAAACTTAAATGTAGCAGCTTTCAGGCGCATATAAAAATCAATGCTCTGGATATGCTGAAGTAATAGAAATACAGTTAGTATAACAGAAGAAATAGAGTACAAATAAATTTACACATTCAGAGGGATATACAGTTACATATTGTGGCATCAAGCCATTGACCAGGTTCATGTAGCCGATAGAGCCAAGATTTTCTCTCTACTTCCAATCCACAATCCAAATCCAGATGAAAATTTTCATCAATTTCCGGTGTGTGCTTAGTCACTGTACATAAAGACCGATGACCTCTAATAACTCCTTCCATAATTTCATTATAGAAATTAATTCTTTCAGACTCAGATTTGAACTCAGCAAACGGATCACGGCTGAATGGACAAATAGCTTGGACAGAACGTTCCTTCTTCTTAGCTTTGCAAAGAGCATCAGAACCTGGAGTGTAACGTAATGGGGAACGCACCTTGCGTTTCGGTCTGCCTGGTTCTTGTATAGCATCAAAGCAAATATTTGCACTAGTCTTAGAAGGGGAAACCTATACAATAGAGTTAAATAAGTGTAAGTATTTGTACAATTAATTAAATAACAAAGCCACAAATCACATGCGTATTAGAAATACCAAATGACTAAGCATGTAAAATAGTGAAATACTATGTAAGTTACAAGAATAGGACCTGGATGTTTAAGGGAGTATCTGACTGGGCTTGAGGTGGTAAAGAAGATGTCAGATTAACAGTAGGCAAGACTTGCGGCTACAGAACAAAAATAAAATAAATCAAACGTCTCCAAAGATGTCACTGAGTAAATTGACAAAAAAAGTGACAAAGAGAACTTACTTTTGGATCATAGAGTTCAAAAGCCTCAATCATTACCTACGTCCAACCAACATTGGTGGTGTCATCAACATCCACAATTATTTCACCATCAGTAACATCCAACACTGCATTGGGAGGTTCAGATACTTTGGGAGGTTCATTGTGTTGCTCTACGTCATGGGGAGGTTCAATTGTAGAGGGGTGAGCTTGATGAGAGTCAACAGGAGCTCTGGTAAACGGCTGTGGAGACCCTTTTCCAGTATCAGATACTTTGGACTTTGAAGCTTCAAGAAGACTTTTGATATTATCAATGACAATATGTTGATCTTTGAACTTATCGTGAAATCCTAATATCTCATTTCTTAACTTTTGAACTTCTTCCTCAAGCACCACAATCCTAGCTTCATAATTTGTTGCTTGACTTGAACTTGCAGCTTGATTATTTTGAGGAGCAGAATCAGAGAAGTGAGTTTGGGCATCAGGACCTGTTGTAGTATCAGGTAGTGGTGGGGTAAATCTGTCTTCAGATTCATGAGAAGGTTTTACATGCCTTTTTTCTTCAATGGGACTGGTTTTGGAGGGTTGTCAAGCTCACGAACACTGTCAGATTGTGAAATGGGAGTGAAAAGAAACTGAAAAAAAGAAGGAAAGTGTAAATATATTAAACAAGATTTTGAAAATAACAACATAAAGAAGAAGAGAATAAATGAAAAATCTACTCCTTTGTTGCAAAAGATTGCATCCTTCAAGGATTCGCTGGATGGCTTTGCAGTGGAGGACCATTTCAGTATACTTGGTTCAGAACAAGGATCTACTAGACGAGCTAGATTTATAACTTTAAGAGCGGGGAATGACTCAAAAGCCCACACTTGTAATGCAATGACACAACCGTAAACATTGTAATGGGAAGGATTAGATTCAATGCTCTTTAAAGAAGCCTTGAAATAACCTACCATGTCATCCCAAATGACTCTGCCCCATGGGTAAGAATTAAAAGCAGCTAGATCATCTACAAGGTTAAGGTATGTTGAATGGATTGAAACCTGACCTTCGGCAGCCAAAAAAGCATGGGACAAAACATATAACAAGGAAAGCTTAACTATGTTTTCTTCTGGTTCTCTACCCCTCTGAATGGACTGAAATACACTCTTAATATCCCGACGCTTGACTTTTGTTTTACAGTCTGGAAAGTATGTATTCCAGATATCACCCCTCTCAGAATCATTATCATGCACAATAGAGACAATTTCATCATAAGGAAAGCCCATAATGTGGGAGAAATCAGAAACAGAAAATGAGATGATCCTGCCCTCGATTTCAAACGACAAAGCATTCTGAATGTTGCTTACCTCAACCATGTTCCCTAAAAGGTAATGTATAAGTTGACCACAACATGACATTTCCTTAGAAGCTAAGAGTTTTCCAAAAACAGACTTCTCAAAAATAGCAAATCGTGAGGAAGAAGTTTAGACCTAACAAGGTTTATGGAGTCATAAAGTCTAGAAAAGGTATTAACTCTCCTATTCTTAATGTCCATGTAAACAACATCCTTGCTGACAAGTCTCTTGAAGGTCTGAAACAAACATATTAAAAAGGAGAAGATGAATTTGATATACATAATAGTGGAATAATGTAGGTACTGGTCTTTTAACAACAGAAAATAAGCAAACAAAAGAATGCATACACATTTTGATTTGTGTGGCAATGATAAACGCGAAGATGAGCGTTTTGCTAGACTTGGACTAGGAGATAATGTAGAAGCACTGTCAGCCATTTGAAAAATATATCAAATGAGGTACACAATACACAAACAGAACCATAAGCATCACTTTTATTGAAATTAAGAGCAAAATGATGAGTGCATATAAATAAAGAGGAGCTACCACAAGCACAGTATAACATGCAATAGTCCAAGTTGCAGTTGAAAACCGTCGATAGATAAATGCAATCAAAACAGTAGGAGAAGAGCAGTAATCTTACGAGATTGAAAAAAAAATACAATGTTGGTGAAATTGGAGTGTGGAAACCAGATACAATGAATACAATGTTGGTGAACGAAAATGGAAACTAACGAGATAAAATCGACAATGTACCTCAAATAATGAGCCAAGTAGGAACAGAGGTGCTGAACGAAGTTGAGAAACACGGCGAGTGGTGAAGTCGAATTCGAAATCGCCGAGTAGAAACACGGCCAATATAGACGGGGGAGAAGAAATGGTGTCGCGTATCAAGCAATCGAATCGCTACCTTCCATTGTTAATCGGCATCGAAGAGCGAGAAGAAAGTCGACATTCAAGAGCGCGAAGAAAGGCGGTGCAGAATTTGCATAGACGGTTAATTCTTTTTCAAAAGGTGGGTGGGTAACCGGCAAGGAAGTTGTGATTACCGGTTAAACGGGTTTCAAAATTTGAGTGAAGTCATATTTTTGGAAAAATGAAAAGTGGTCATATTTGTGTCTTGAGAAAGCCCAATAGTAATTTTGGTGCCATTTTTTAGGAATTTCATCAATTCAGGACTCGAAAGATAGATTAATTATCAACTCGGGACCTAAAATAAAAAATGCATCGATATAGGACCCGAATGATGAAAAACTATCAATTTAGGACCTGAATGATTGAAAACTATTAATCTATGACCTAAGTTGTCATAATTTTTTTTTATTAAAAAAATTTAAATATTATTTCGTTTTATTAAACTAATAAACTTTTGTGAAGAAAAGTTTATCAAAAATTAGTAATGGAATTAATAAAAAATTAAATAAATCAAAACCTATGAAACGTTAGGTCCTAAATTGATAGTTTTCCATCATTCGGGTCCTATACCGATACGTTTCATCTTTCGGGTCCTGAATTGATAATTAATCTATCTTTTGGGTCCTGAATTGATAAAATTCCTTTTTTCTAAAAAAATTCTTTTTCGATTTGGTCTGATTTGTTTAAAAACATTTTAATCGAATTGATCGCATTTCTAGATTCAGATCAAATCAAAGAGCGAGTTTTATATTAAAATCGATAACACATAGAAATCAAACTTCAGACAGATTTTACAGATCTATTCGTGAATCCTGGGAGTAAACATAGTGTCAGTCACCTTATTCAAAGCAACGTGACTCACTAAACCTGTTACGAGCAAGTTTAAGTCTAAAACGATCATAACTGAAACTCTACCTATCAAAAGAAGTCTGAAAAATTCAAATATCCAAACCAAACCTACTCAGACTAAAATAAAGACAAGTACTACAAAAGAAAAAATAATATTGAGATAAAGACTTTCCACAAAACTCTTCTTGGAACGGAGGTGGTTCTGGAGGAGGACGAGCTCTTGCAATATAGGTAAATACCATCTCCACCACCGTCGGAGCGGCTGACTAAGGCTGCACGATCCAACGATACAAACTCTCAGCCACAACTCGTTCATCCACCAACGTTATCTCTTCCGGCGTAGCTGCAATCTCAAGCATTAGAACACTTAAAATTAGTATAAATAGCCGCTCAAGCCCCATATTGATAGGGCGGCGGAAAATCCCAACCCCTGCAAAGAGGGGAGATGATCGCTAGGTTTTACTTTTACTTTCTTAAAGTTTTTTGGAAGAAAAGTTATTTTTATAGAAAATGTTAAAAATATAAATGTTGTAGTGTTTGAGAAAATAAGGAAAAAGGTACAAATATACCGTTATAATATGAATGTGGTAACAAATATATTCATATTCTATTTTTGGGAACAAGTATGCCCCTGAAGTTTATGTCGAAGTACATATATATCCATGAACTCTTAAAAAGTGCAAAAATATGTCTCGTGATCCTACAAAAGAGCAAATTTACCTTTATTAACTCAAATGGATAAAATAAATTTCAACAAAAAACCAAAAATAAATTATAAATTATAAATTGAAAAATAAAATAAAAAATCAACTCGTGTCCAATTCTCCCTTTTATTAGTTTTTTATCATAATTTAATATTGTTGTATGGCAGTGGTACTAATTAGATCGTTATAGGCTTATGTTTGCACGTATGGTAGTATGCGAGTCATATGTTTTTATATGTGAGTGTCTCTATATCTAATCTTCGAACTTACGATCATATTTGAGATAGATGTCTTAATATTTCTTACCACATTTTCAGTATTTTAATATAAGTCGTTTATTATAAAAAAACAATTAACAAATAAAGAAAAATGTAGAAATAAAAATAAGTGGTCCATGACTCTAAAAAGAACAAAGTTAATAGTTGAGCGTTGAACGCCTGAAGAAGGGCCCTTGCAAGGTCTGAAGGTCTGAAACATTATCGCCTGTCAGTGTCACACTATGGAAGCAGGCCATGCCGTTAAGAATAGAAATCTAAAGAAATATTTAAAATATACTATTCATTCGCACTTCGCACGAGTAATCTTTCTTGTTGTTCATCTCCTCAAGACCTCAAAAATTGTTGAATGTAGATGAATGATGACCCATATGACTCTTCGATGTTACTA